CCAAGACCCTGAAGGATTTTCATTCGGCTTGTAAACTGTTCGATGAAATGCCTTACAAGGACGCCTCTTGCTGGACTTGTTTGATTTCTGGATATGCCAAGTCGGGTCAATCTGAAAAAGCACTATCAACATACTTGTCCATGGTTAAGGAGAAAGTGGTCCCTGAAAATGACACCATGGTTAGTGTGATGTCTGCTTGTTCGAATCTTGATTTTGTATAGGTTGAGAATTGGATAAGGAATTTGTTAGACGCAGTTGATAGCTATGGTTTGAAGGATGACCATTGTGACGTTGTTAAAATTGTTCTTATTTATTTGTATGGTAAATGTGGAAAGGTCAATCAGAGTAGGGAGATGTTTGACCAGGTATCTGCTGATGGGAAGAGAAGTGTGGTTCCTTGGAACGCCATCATTAGTTCCCTTGTCCAGAATGGATTTTCTTGGGACGCATTGGATCTTTTTCGGGTAATGACAATGCATCATAATTCTAATCCCAACCATGTTACAATGGTCAGTGTGCTTACTGCATGTGCTCAACTTGGTGATTTGGATATGGGGATTTTATTCCATGAACATATTAAATCAAGCAATATTTCGAATAGGAATCTTGAGACTGCATTGATAGACATGTACTCTAAATGTGGGTGTGTGGAGAAGTCGACGGAAGTGTTTGACCAGCTTGCTTTAAAAGATGTTGTCACATACAACGCCATGATCATGGGTTTGGCAACAAATGGAAATGGAAAAGGCGCGCTTACACTTTTTGCGAAAATGCTAGAGCTTAATTTGCAACCTAACTCCCTAACTGTCCTCGGTGTATTATGCGCTTGCAGTCACTCAGGACTAATAAATAAAGGCTGGCAAGTGTTCCGAGAAATTAGCCAACGTTTTTTTATTGTCCCCAAATTGGAACACTACGCTTGTTACGTTGATCTACTTTCACGAACAGGTCATGTTGAAAAAGCACTTGAAGTTGTTACGTCAATGCCATTTGAGCCGAACAGTTTTGTTTGGGGGGCTCTACTTGGTGGTTGTGTGGTTCATGGCAAATTAGAACTTGCCAATCACATCTCACAGATGCTTGTCCAGGTGGATCCACATAGCTCTGCCGGATATGTGATGATGTCGAATGCATTTGCCACAAAACATCATTGGAAGAATGTTTCAATTATGAGGTCAGCTATGATGGAAAGTGGAGTGAGCAAAGAATCGGGGCATAGTCGGATTTGCTTAGAGGGAAAGGTGCACAAGTTCCTTGCCGGCGCGGCGTTTGCATCAAAACTTCAAGATGAGAAAATATGTAGTGCACTTGAGGGATTACTGAAGGAGATGAAGTTACCTAGTACTTAGAGGATCTTGTAGTCATTTTTAAGATTTATTTTATATAAAATATTATCTCATTGTAATTGTTCATAACGCAAGGGTATGGTAATTAACTAAATATAAGGCACAATTTGTAAAAATGTAAAATACCATTGCTTTGTCATTGGGTTAATTTATAAACTTGTGGGGCATGTTATGTGGGTGCCAGTTGATGTTAGTGTCATGGATAATATCATGGACCTAACCACTCAGGGAAAGAAATGTCTAGTTTAATATCTATAGATACCTAAATTTGAGAAGTTTGACAATTCTTAATGAAAAGTGTTTTTTTTTAATTTACTCCAGGGGGTCTGGAGGAGGGGGATGGGGGGCATGTAGTAATATGGGTTGAAACTAGCTCATTGAGTTTTGAACCCTTATGTGCTAGCGGGTTTCGAACTCGAGACCTCCCAATAGGCACAGTAACCTAACAACCAGTTGGGCTGGAATGCTTGATTTTTTAATCAAAAGTGTAAACGTGCATATATTTATATCTTGCATAACAAAGTACGAGATGGTTATTTTGTGAATAATATGCTTTCGTAGTATGACTTGCTTTTTTACCTAAACACTCTCCTGACACTAAAAGCATACTCTATTATAGAACTATACACTACTAACATATAATTAAATTGGATATACCATTTATCTGACGAGCTATGAAGAATTAATAATTGGGAATTTATTTCCACGGTACATTTTAAGATAAATTTTGAAGACTGGCATTTTGGCTGCAAGGTTGAACCTAGGCATACAATTGAGGCTGAAAGCCTGAAACCATAGTCCAATTCCTTTGTTGTGTAGTTTTATACTCTTAGTGAATAGTTACAGCTTTTTAACTTTTTGTACTAGTTATGTCTTCCCCATTCCTAGCTAATACTACGTATGTATAAACGAAGGCCTCATCTTGAAAATGGATGATTAGCTAAGTTTTGATTTCTTTGATTACTTAAATAACTAAAATTGTTGTTTAGTAAATGGTTGGTAGATTTATCTCATTGGACTGATATAGTTGAAAATTATTTCCAAATAATTTCATTACACTTAGTGCCAGTGGCGAACCCAGAAAATCAAGATCACGGGGTCCCTACTCTAATGTAACTCTAATTAATAAGAGCCCGTTAGGCGATTTTTCCCCCGGCTTATTAGGTTTATTAACCAATTTATATATCAAACAAGTAACTTTTGATTTCGCGCATCGAATGGTGTAATAATAAGAAAACGTAAGTTTAAAGTTACTTTTTTGACTGTATTGACTGAAGTTACTGTATAAAATCATTTGAGCTATCTTTCATACTTTAGCCAATCCAATCGCTTCATAGTATATTTCAGTTGTATTGGCTGTATTGGCGATACTATGATTTTTTCTTTATTTTATTAATAAAATATATTTAAAATATTTTTTATAAATAAGTAGAATCAATCAATACAGTCACTTTAACCATAATTTCATAAATTTAAGTAGAATCAGTCAATACAGCCTATTCACGCATTACCAAACAGGGTCTAAAGTAGCATAATGTTTCATAGTTAACGTACATTATCAAAATATTAAGATAGTCATAACACACAAAATTACATATGAAGTATATATTTCATTCTACAATTCTACAAATGTACCTTCTTAGGTTTCAACATGTTGGTCTTGCAGACAACTAGACATCTTAATTTTATATTTAACAATTATTTGATCTATTTTTTCATTTAATAATGATGAATCATTTGAATTAGCGTCCGATTTACTCCCGATGCTCCAAATTTCTTTAAATCCGGATACAATATTGAAATATTTTTTCATCCTAAATCGTAAAATATCGGGAAAAAACTATTCATAAATATCATATGGAGTATTTAATAAATAATCTTAAAAGTCAAACAAATTTTAATAAGTAATCCAAAATTTTAAATTATGTAAACTTTAAAGTTCAAAATAATGATCTTTTACAAAAAGACATTTGTAAAACAAAAATGCAGCAGCTGGGGAATTGAACCCCCGAACCTCCACACAAAGGGAGCTTGAAGTTCCCCACTGCAACCATCCGTCTACTCCGCTCTCTCACATTCCTACAAGCTTTTGTTGTATTTATACACATGTTAGTAAATTTTATATAAAATGTATATAATATATATAATAATTTTTTTGAAGGCACACGGGGTCCCGGGACTCCATGGGACCCTTAGTGGGTCCGCCACTGCTTAGTGCCGCAATGGTCCAATGGAAATAGTGTCTATATAGAGCCAGAGGTAATAGAGCCATGCACCAACATCCTTCAGGAATAAACAAAGGATTTAATAAGTTATACCGTATTAAAATAAGAGATATTACCCAAAATGGGACTAAAAAAGTTTGGAAATTCCAAAATAGGACTTCCATTTTTTTATTCCCAAAATAGGACTAATTACTGTCATGTTTTGGTAGTACCAGACTTCGAACATGGCAGTATTTTCCAAATTTGGCAGTAATTAGTCCTATTTTGGGAATAAATACATGACAGTCCTATTTTGGAATTTTCAAACTTTTTTAGTCCTACTTTAGAAACTTTCCCTTAAAATAATTTTGTTTGTTTGAATAATGAAAATTACGCATGCAAAAACATTTTTATCGAGCTTGGAATCAGGAGGCTTGGGTAGTTTGGGTTGCCACCTCCCTCTAGGCTCTACCCATGACCATTATGGCATTAAGTTTTTTTTTTAATACTACATATTTTTTATTATATGGTGGTTTTTGCATGTTGATATTTCAAATAGACGAATTTAAAATTTTTGAATTACTTAATTCACATTAATAGAAATTTAAAATTTTTATACGTACATAATAATTCAACAATACATTAGTAATAATCAAGGGAGAATCTATGTACGGGCTATGTGAGGTTGAAACCCAAGGCAACTGGTTTTTTTTTCCCAATTTTTTTAGTGTATTTTTTTTAATTTTTTAAAATTTAGCCCACCCCGTTAATATTTAAGCCTAGTATAATTCCTATTTTTGGATACTAAACATGATTAAAGTAATGTATTAATAGTGCAAAAATCAAAATATTCCTAACTATTCAAGAAGGTAGATTCTATTGTACTCATAAATTACCATACATTTGTCCACATATATGGACCAATCAAAATATTATAGTTGAATTATTTATATGAAAATTGAAAGTATTGTAATGTTTTAAACCAATCAAGAGAATGATAGATACGACATCCCATTTTTAATTGGGTGCCATAGTTCTCACCATTAAAAGAAGAGTTCTGCTTGGTCTACGTGCCGAGCTACACAGACAATATGACTGACGTTTTATGAAGACAATTGATTACCACACAGGCAAAAATCAAGTGTTGTCTGTATCACAGACATTTTAGACGAAATTTTTTCATGAAATGTCTGTGATATATACAATTTTAAACGAGAATTTTAAAATGTCTATGATACCAATAATTTTTCTATTTTTATTTGTGTGAAAATCAGTTATCCTCATAAAACGCTGGTCGAATTGTTTGTACACAGACAATTTGACCGGCATGTAACCCGGCGTGTAAAAATTGGCGTGTTCAAAGGGAATTTTCCATTAAAGAATGGAGGGATTATTATTTTTGATGAAGAATTGATTACTAAAGTGTGAAGCCTTTTACAATGATGGGTTGGCAAAATCTGAAGTATCATGACCCCTTTTGTTATCATAAGATGATTGAACAAAAATCCTGTTTGTGCTAAAAAGTAGACTATATTTAGTAATCATCAACCTAAGTTTACAGTGGATCTGCTTGATGAAAAGAATTGAGTATAGTAAGCCATCAATATAGGCCAAAAGGTTAAACAACATTAACATTTGGCTCCAGGAACAGATAAACCAATTCTTAATCAAAGAGCACTGAAACTGAAGCTCTGTTTGGTCAAAACCAAAAACAAGAACTCATTTTTCGTTTTATCTGTTTTTTTTTTTTTGCAGCAAATTTTCGTTTTATCTGTTTATGGAGCCAAATCTGAAGACCTTGTTTGGGTCAGAACATTTCAGAGGGTGGTGGAGAAATAAATTAATTAATTAATAACAAAAAAGTCCATCGTCCTCGCCTCCATTTTTTCGTGACCAAACAACCTTTGAAATTTGTATCACTCCGGAGTTGGTGCAATGGAGCATCTAGACCGGTCGCCGGAGGACGGTTGACTTCCCTCCTCCGGCGGCTGACAAACATCCTCAATCATCCTAACGACTTCATCCATGGTGGGCCTCGCATCCTGCCCCTTCCCCACACATGTCAGAGCAACTTGAAGCATCTGCACCATCTCCTCCTCTACATTCTCGTACTTCATCAATGCCACGTCGAAAACCTCCGCCGTCCACTCCTCCCGGACGACGGACCGGACCCATCGTGGCAAATCTACCACGTCATCGCGCCCGGTCGGCACTGGCGACTTCCCCGTCAGCATCTCGAGAAGGAGGACGCCGAAGCTGTACACGTCTGATTTCTGGGTGATTTTTCGGGTCTCGATCATTTCGGGCGACCGGTAACCGGGCCCCCGGTGTTTGACGGCAATGTAGTTCATGAGAGGGCTCAACCCGAAGTCGGAGACGGCGGCTTTGAGGGTGGTGGTGAGGAGGATGTTGGAGGATTTGATGTTGCCGTGGGTGAATCTGACGCCGCCTTGGGAGTGGATGTGTGCGATTCCTTTTGCTGTTCCTAATGCTATGTTCAGTCTGGATTTCCAGTCAAGTGGAGTTCTATCCATGCTGGTGTTCCCTGCTTGATCAAATTTTAATAAGTTAATGGTAATTAGTTGATTGGTTAATTAAATAAAATGCTTTGATCCAAATGAAATGAGTATCACGTTGGTGAAATAAGGAGAATGAGATGGCATATTTTAGTTTTTATGTTTGGTGATCACATTTGATGAGGAGAAGCAGATTTAGCTAGTAGGGAAAAATATGAAGGTTTTGCAACCAAGAAAAGATGGAGAAAAGATAAGGAGAAATTTTGGAAGAACATATGTTGAAATTTATTTTATTTATAATCTTAGCATACAAAAAGATAAGAAATATAGATACACAAAATCACAAGAAACAAAAAATCTAATCAAGACTGATTTTCCTTTTTGTATTTTATAATGTAAAATAAATACACCATTTTCTTTAACATATTTTTTTTCTTTTCCTTGCCTTTTTGGTTTCCAAATATAACCTGGTAAACTGAGATTTAAATGGGGAATTTAGTACTTCAATCCAAATCCGTGGCATGATTCATCCTACAATATTCAATTGCCTAGGGGTATGTTTAACTGTGTTTTGAGGTATTACTTCAAAAAAAATTATAAAACCTCAAAAATGATTGAGTTTTTGCCACTTTTGATTCCCCGACTACTATGTCAGTGACACTTTTGGTACCCGACTTTTGATTTTTCCATTTTTAGTACCCGACTTCAAAGTTTTCTACATTTATTCCCCCGAATATTATCAAATTGACACTTTTAGTCCTTCTACTATGATTGTGGCACAATAAGTGGGGAACTAAAAATGCCACTATTATACTCCCTAATAGTTGAAGGACTCAAAGTGACACTTTTAGAAAAGTCGAAGGACTAAATATGAAAATCTTCAAAGACGAGCACCAAAAGTGTCTATAGCATTATAGCTGGGGAATAAAAGTGAAACATTCAAAATAGTCCAAGGACTAAAAGTGTCAAAAACTCTAAAGATTTAGAGACACATCAAAATAATACTCCGTAAATATAACCTATCTTCCAAAACATTTCAAAACCCTTCCCAGCCAATCTGAAACTTACGGTATGTTTGGTGAATTGATGGATCTTATCAATACTGGCACAATTGACCATTGTAAGAAAGATTATTGATGATAGATTATTGAAATGAATAGTGGTTCAAGACAAAAACATGCTTATTGATGTGTGCGGCAAGTTTCAGTGGTTTTGCATTCAAAGACTAAATCTGGAAAAGACATACCGTGAAGAGCTTCAAACAAGCTGCCAACTGGCATGTACTCATGAACAACAAGCTTCTCATCCTTTGAATAGTAATAAGCCTGGGGAGAGGCCAAGTTTGGGTGGCGTGAAATCCTTCCCAGAAACTCCATGTGTTGTTCAAACTCTCTCTTCCCAGCTCCAACTTCCTTCAACCTTTTAACCACCACCGTTGTTGACTCATCCAAACAAGCCTTGTACGCTGTTCCATAACTACCCTTCCCAAGAATTTCAGCAGAAGCCCTTAACAGATCTTCCAGGTCAAAGCTGTAAGAACATCCTTCAAAGAACACAAGTTTGTTCTTATCTGCATCCTGGACCCCACTTCCGAAATCCTCTGGCTTCTCACTCTTCCCACCATAAGCAACCTTCTCTTTACCATCACTCCCATCAGAGACTTTCTTCTTCAAACAGAAGAATGAGATCATCAATCCCAAGAAAGTCAGAAATGAACACACGCCTATAACAATGGCGATCACAGTCCCTACACTGAGTTTCTTCTTCTTCAAAATTGAATCTTTTTCTTTCACTATTCCTGTAGAGCACTGTGGGAGTGGTTTCCCGCAAAGATGAGAATTACCCAGAAATGAAGCAGCTGGAAAGTTCTGGAAGGAATCTGGGATCGACCCGTTTAACATGTTATGACTCACATTCAAGAAGTTAAGCTTTGAAGATTCAAGATTTGGGATGGATCCAGATAAGAAATTGTTCTGAAGGTTAAGAACAGATAAATGTGTCAAATTCTTGATACTGGCGGGAATGTCCCCAGAAAAAGAATTGCTAGAAAGATCTATGATAACAAGTCTGGGAGAGAGAGAGGTGGGTATTTGTCCAGTAAAGTTGTTATCTTGAAGGTAAACAGTTTGAAGGGTAGGGATGGAGAGGATATCAGAAGGAAGAGGTCCACTTAAATGGTTTCCTCTCAAGCTAAGAACCCTAAGAGCATCCATCTTTCCTATGGTCTTTTCTGGAATTTGACCGAAAAACCCAACACCTGGAAGATGGATACCTATAACTCTTGTTCCATGTCTGTTACATTTTATGCCAGCCCAATAACTGCAGATCAGGGTGGAAGAATTCCAGTTGAGCTTCCTGACATGTGGAACAGCAGAAGCAAACTCTAGTAGAGCATTTCCATCAGATTCCAGAAGTGCAGAAATCCGAGGAAGAACTGCTAGAGAGATGAAAATAAGAGCAATGTGTGATACTGAGATTTTGATTCCCATTGAGTTTTTCTTAATGTTGATTCTTCTTCTAAGAGGAACCTCCCTGTATGGATAGAAAGAAGAAGAAGGATGCATTAACGCACAATAATGTGTCTGGAAATACTTGAATTAGGCAAAGAAAACAAAAGGGGAAATAGTTCACACCTTTACCATATTCTAAGGAGTGAATTTCAATTCTCTATATACAAGTGTAAACTTAAAGGAATAACACTAAAGCCCTTAAAAGTAGTCAACACTATACCTCTTCAAATATAACTTTCAAATGAAATCTTGATACGTAATTAATTAAGTTGTTGGAAAGCTGGAGCGGTAATCCCAATGAAATAATGAAACCAAAAGCTTTTAAACTTCAAGACTAAGAAGACTTAGATATTGTATGCTATAAAGGTATTGAAAAAACATTCTTTAGTGTATTACTATTTGTTTTATTGAGATGAGAGAAATATTACTGTATTTAGTCAATTAAGTTTTAATATAGGATTTATAGCCTGTCATATATGAAGAAAGCGATAAGGAAGGAACATTTATATATATGTCACATTAATCCCTCTTACTTAGTACAGAAGCTTATAAAGGCATTATTAACAGTTGAGGGTCACATTTTTAAAATGCATCAATAGTACATTTTTTACCACAGTATTTACAATTTTAAGGGCATTATCATCAAAAACACAAAAATCTTGGTGAAGAAGGTTGCATTGTCTGAGCATAAAAAACTAAAAAAGTGAAAAAGTAAAAGTCCTTGATAAAGAATGAGTCAGACACTAAAAAAGAAGGCAAACATAAAAGCAAAAGATAAAGTTGGGTTGTTTCTTTGTTGAGTACTTCAATGATAGGGGTGGAATACTATGCAAACTATTCCCCTATTTTAAAACAATAGTATATAGATATGAGTAGTATAAAGTAGCATTCAAGTCTCTTTAGGGATAAAAATTCCTAATTTATACACTTAATAAATTAATAAAGCCCCTATTTTCACATCATATTTTCGTCCTGGTCAAGTGGAGTTTCTCCATAAAGGTTCCTTAACAACGAGGGTTTTTCCTAACCAATTTCGACATTTCATCTCATATATATAACCATGAAAATAAACCAAACTTCATATTGATTCAGTGATTAATGTAGTTGATTAAAGAGAATGTAAGATTACCTAATTAAGATAAGATTGTAAGAATGTAAAATTATTTCATTTACTTGGTTGAGATTATAATACTCCCCTATTCCATTTAGGTTGAGAATTTGAGATACACTTTTTTTAGTTGTAAGAAAAATATAAACACTTTTTCCTAAATTAAACTCCAACTATTTTCTTTTTCACTTTATCTATTATTTCACCTTCAAATCCTACTTTTTCTTCTTTGTAGAAGATTAAAGTAGTAATACAACACTTTTATCTTGCATTTTTATAAAATCAGCATCAAATCTATATGTCTTACATTGTTGGTGGGGAGTCATACTATATTCCCCTCTTGGCTGATCCCCAAAAAGATAGGTCATGTTTGAATTTGGGAAAAGGGGCAAATAAGCCCTCGAACTAATCAAAAAAGTGCAAATAAGCCCTTTTGTAGGAGGTTCCGTCCGGCCATTGTCATTTGGGGAGGTTTTTGGAGGAATTTTTCGATGAAATTTTTTGAGCATCTTATTCATTAAGTCTAGTTTAGTCATACCGAATTTCAGCTAAAAATTCAATCGGGAAAACAGTCAAATGAATTTTTGAAGATAACTGCGCAGTTAAACAACGCAGTATATTTCCAAAAATCATTTGAGTGCCTTCCCGGTTGAATTTTTAACTAAAATTTGGTATGGCTAAACTGAACTTAATGAAGAAGATGTTCAAAAAAAATTATCAAAAGATTCCACCGAAAACCTCCCTAAATGACGATAATCGGACAGAACCGCCTACAAAAGGGCTTATTTGCACTTTTTTTATTAGTTCGAGGGCTTATTTGCCCCTTTTCCCTTTGAATTTTCAAATGGTGGCTGTTGAGTTTAACCAGGGGCGGAGCTAGGGGGTGCCCAGGCTAGGCCCTGGCCCACCCCAAATTTGAAAAATGTCAATATTTTTAGTGTAAAAAATTTCGTGTAAATTTTTTTCCAATAATATTCTTTGTACCGACCCAGTCTAGCCCAGTGTCCTGGCTACGCCCCTGAGTTTAACTAATAATATATCTATTTAGCATATGATTTTATAGCATGAAAGTGATATAAAAATACTACTCCATATTTGTTAAGAAAACTAAAATACAAATGCAGAACTGCTAATTTAAAAAAAAATGTATACTTTGTCCTAAAAAAGCTAAATGTGGCCTATTGTGTGGTATCAAGAGAGCCACTTTTTCAAAGCAAATATATGAATAACAATGATATGACATCTTATTCAAGGGTACTTTTATAGAATATTATCATGTAAATCTTAGAATATCTATGCAACCCAAGTAATTAATTCACCTCCTACGCTATCCTATTTCCTGTGTGGCTGTATTATGAGCTTACTAAAGTACCATCAAAGCTCAAACTAAAAAAAATACCATCTTTGGAGATCCAGACTAAGAAATTAGACTGATCTTCCACACTCAAGTTGCCTATGTAATATCAGATTATGCAGACCAACGAAAAGAAAAAGAAAGAAAGAAATAAACTAGATATGGAGAGAAGCTTACAAAGGGTATCTGAAAAATTGAATCTTGAGCAAATCAGTTCAGAAATTCAAAAGCTACGAACTTGCAGCAGAAAATGGAAAGGGGGGGTTCTGGGTTGCTGGAAACAGCCAATATATATCCGATTTTATCTGATTCAAGCAGAGAAAACCGAAAATGAGTGTTTGAAAATAGCTGTTGGAGTTCAACGGCACTCTTCCAAAAAAATTGATGTTTCCCTTCTTTCTCTCAATCGCCAAACAGTCCTAATAATTGCAGAAGCAGGCCAAAATTTCAGTTTCCTGGTTTCAATAATCCAGCGGTTGTGTCGGTTCATGCATTCAATTCTTTTAAACAAGCGGCCCACATTAAATTCCCATAAAAGATAGCTACGGATATTCACAGAAAATTCAATATGAAAAACAGAGAATTGATGGAACTCACGGAGAAACAGGAAACGGGAGAAGTGCAGGAATGAGGAGCAGAGGAAGAAGAAGAGTGGAATGAAGTAGTGGGAGAAAAGAGAGTAACGGCCATTTTCGTTTTTACCAATCCACTTTCTCATTAATTAAGGAGGTGTACGTTAATTTGATTTTAGATTATTTTTTGGGGAGACGGAACAACGGCGTCTTTTTGTCTTTCGCGTACAAAAGTCAGATAATCCGTTGCTATAAAATACGATTTTGTTGTTTGATCCTCCGGATAATGGTGGGTAAACGAAATTTATCTACGTAAAAAATGATAATCGGACTTTGAAATTTAATTGATGAATGGTTAATTGGTGATTAAAAAAATCCTTACAATTTCACAATTATAGTTGAGAATTAAAGATTATACATTAATAAATTACATTAAAATTTGAGTTTTGATTAAATAAAATATTAGTTCACTGATAACTAAATGACGAGTTTTAGAATTGCTAGTCATACCTTATTACATATCTAAGGATGTTTTCTTTTAGACTGTTTTCAGTCCCAGATCAGACTTTCGTAGTTATAAAATACACACAGACCAGACGTTCCAGAACAGATCAGACCAGATCAGACTAGACCAGTAAATTTCAGTCCAAAAGAAAAATCCTAAATCATTATGACTAAGGTATATCATACGGAGTATTTTTTTTATCAATACAGTAGCTTTTATTCTGGTACTAGTACTAGTACGGAGTAATACAAGTTATACAACATACTCTATGAGAATTAATGATTAAGTTTACCCGAGTGGTAAATCAGTAAATAATACTACGTATTATTACGATGAGAGGTTACTCAACAGAGGGCATCTGCAAGTATCGAAGACGGGGCCTCACTCTCTATCTGTCAGATTGTGATTATAGTCCAATTTACATGAAGAGATGTACATCTCTCATCGTTTCGTCCGGTCGGTGTTGGGGGCCTCAGGGGTGGGATGTCATCCTTTTTTCAGTAAATAATACTACGTATTTAGAAATAAATAAATCAAGTACAGGAAGATGTCTAGTAGCGCTAGACATAAATAATCTAGTAGTGTTAGAAGGACGAGGAATTACGCGCATATTGGTATGTAAGCACAAAAGTTTGGATTCGGATCCTCTGCCATAAGGCAGAGTGCCTTGCGGCATCCGACGACAAGGAGGGGAAGAGAATGGCCTCGAGATCGGGGAAGGAGTGGAGCCCAAGATCTTCGACCGTCCAATCTCCGATCGAACGGTCCGGAAAAGTCGGGCACCCTACCTTACTTTAAAGCAAGGCAGAGGCCCCGGATCCCAAAAGTTTGAGCAAAATTGTTTGCATGTTGGGATTTAGTAGGAATTTACATATGTAAGATGAACGAAGATCTTCATGAACAAACACATTTACAAACAAAATGTTAGTCAACATTTATGTAGCATGTTAATGTTAGGATAAAATGAAAGATAAGAGGTAGAGATATTTTCATTGAGCAAATTCATCGGAGCGTTAATAGGAATGCCAAGTTCAAAAAACACAGAAACATTGTGTAGAGTATCCTGAATATAATAAGCAATTGTCCGATATTCTACCTTTGTAGAAGGGCGATACACTACAGGCTGGTTTGCAACCACTTTAAAAAAAGCATTTCTCAGCTTTTAGCTTAAAACAGCACTTATTTACCAAACACTACCAATTTTTTATTTTTCTCGACTTTCGTGTCAAAAGTGTTTTTCCACTTTTTATACACCAAAAGCACTTATTTTACCAAACACTACCAACTTTTACTTTTCAAAATCACTTTTTTCTCAAACACTATCAACTTTTACAAATAATCACTTTTTCCAAATCACTCCAAAAGTGCTTTTTTTTAAGCAGAAGCTGTTGCAAACACTCCCTGCATCAAATTGTGTCTTGGAACATGAGGAGATCAAATTAGGTCTTTGAAATATAGCATACCCAATGGACATTAAAATAGGACACAATTATGGACAAAATGATGTGCCATGATGTGCCATTAACTATATAACTACTGTATCTGTGAAAATGTGAAATACGTGAAGAATGCATAAATTCAACAAACAAGTAAGACATGATTAATGCTATGCTTCGTAGTGCTACCTCCGACTCGCTAATATTGTCTCGTTTTACCATTTCGGTGTGTCATACTAAAATTGTCACATACCAAATTTAGCAAAGTTTGTGTGACTCTAAATCATTTTTTTCTTTATTCTTGTTTTATCAATTCAATATCAATCATATAAACTACTTTTTATTAATTTGTGTGTCACTCCCCTTGTCTCATTATTAGGGAAGCGGGAGAGTATTACATTTTTTCCCTAGGATGATTCTATTTACTAACTTAAAGTTTTTTTTTGTGTGACGTAATGATTGTAAACAAACTATGGAATGGAATACTAAATAAAGAACTGATTTGTGAACATAGAAAGCATCACTAATGTGTCACTCGATCAATATTAGTTGATTGATGGTGACAAAAAAGATTATGAATGTGTTTTAATTTGTTAGGGAAACGGTTGAAAAGTGAAAACTACCATAATTTTACCTTTATCTTGCCAACAAACTTCGTACTATTTCGGGATGTTTGGTCTGATTCTCAAAACTGATGAAGCAGAAGTTGGAGTATTTGGGTGAAATTCCAGAAGCACTTCTGGTGCTCTAAGGCTTTGTTTGCAAGTGTTTGTGTTTAAGTAAAAGCACTTTTTGGGAAAAAGTGATTAGTAGTAAAAGTTGATAGTGTTTGGTAAAATAAGTACTTTTTGTGTAATAG